AATAATACTATGCCGAATGTTGTATTCGAATGTTTGACGAGTGGCAGCATGCCGAATGGCACTATTTTGACTAGTGATATATAATTAATGTTTTTAAATAAAAAATAAGAAAATTTTTTAAAATAATTAATTAATAATTGTTTTAGTTTTAAAATATAGATATATAATTTATTTAAAATTTTAAAAAATTATAAATTATAAATTATAAAATATAATATAGTATTTAATTATTATTTTATTTGTAAATTAATATTTTTAATCTATACAGTCTTGAATATTAAGCTAGTAATAATTGTTTTAATAAACTAGAAATGTTTTTTTAAAAAAAAGCAATTTTTTTATTTTCCATAATTATATTTAGAAGCCTTTATTATTGACATGTGTACTGTATAGCATTAATAAGTTTGCAATAATATATATATTTATATAATATGATTAATAAACATAAATATCATGCGGCCTGATTAGGTGTTAAATTAATTAATTAATATTTATAATTTATAAATTAAAAACTAAAATTATATATTTTCTTTATAATGATAAAATGATAATTTTTTATTGGTTGAAAGGTATCATATTTAAAAGATAATCACTTATTACCGAACCCTCTATTTTTCGAATGAAAATGGCAAGCTGGGAGTATTCGCACAAAGAGTTTCCTACGTATACTAAAGTGAAAGAAGGCGAAACGCCTAGTTATGAAGGTAGTTTAGGATCTCAAATTTAATATCTATTTTTCCATGTTCTTACGAAACATATATTCTAACCCTCAATCGTAATGATAAATTCAGTTTTATTGGCAAACAAAGAATATCAAATTCGAGAACATTGGGTTAGAGCAATGGAAGTTCGATTAGTCAAACAACAATTGGGCAAATGCCAAAAAACCGAGGGTGTAAATGCTATGGTAAATTGCCGACGATTGGCTAAATTGTATCTAGAATTATTACGAGAGTATAAGGACAATTACGGCAATGGCAATGGTTTATTAGGCTAAATAAAAAAAAGTTAGGGTGAATATGGTTGCAGTAGAGATACTCGATGTTAAATGTATGTAGGTTTCCTTACTATATTCCTTAATATTTGGCTAGGTTTAAATAATAACCCATGTGCACAATTCATCATTTCGATCTTGAATTTTGACAGTTTTAGTTAAGACCGTGTAAGAACACTTTCCAAAGGATCTGAATAATAATAACAAGAACACCTCATTAGTAGTAAAATATTATTAGGCTACTGATATTTCTGGTCCACTTATATAGTATTTTTTCAAAATCAATCAACTTTAAAAAGTACTATATTGACTTTCTATATACAATATATACACTTAGGTTTATATATTAAAATAAAAAATTAATTGGCTTACTAATAAGTTTATACTCGTGTAAAGTTTTTTAATTTGTATTTATAATTTAAAATATTAATTATTCGATTATTTGTTTCAAATAAAATATTAGAACAGATTTATTAAGTTATCATTAGATTAACACTTTTAATTTATTCGATTTTTTTAAAAAGTAATATAATATAGTATCAATAATACCTGTTACAAATAAATGTTTTAAATATAATGTTAAAATAATTATACATTATTTAATTTAAATATAAGTGAATAAACAAATTAGTTAATTATTTTCAATTTTTTTTTTATAATTGTCAACGCTTTTTATTAAATATTTGATATTTGATAAAATAAAATTATTTTTTTAATATTAATATTTTATATTTTTAACTAATAATAATTAGATAATTTTAAAAATTTAAGTTATTAAATATTAAAATCAAATAAATTATTTAAATTACATATGTAATAAAAAATAATAAAGTTATAAAATAAATTATATAGAGTTTATTTTAAATTTAGAGGCCTGTGAATCAATAGCACAATGGGTAATGTTTTCAGGTTTCAAAATACATGTTTCTAGTTCAATACTTACAGAGAACAAACATATAAAATATCTTTTATATGTAAATTTATTGGTTTATATATATATATCATATTCAAACATTTAAATTCAGATTAAATTTAATTAGGCTAAATAAAATAAAACCTTTGATTTTTCTAATAATTATAAATTGAAATCAAATTGAAAACAAAAAACTTTATAGTACAAAAAAAATTATAGCTTGAATTATCTAATATAATATTGCTTTAAAAAAATTTTGTTATATAAATAGAAATTGCAAATAGTAAAAATGAATATAGTATCTTTTTCAAGACTTTAAATAATTAATATTAAACAGAATATTTAAGTGTTTTAATTATGTTTTTAAAAATATTAAAAATATTTAATAAAATTTAATAAATTAAAAAAAATATAAATATAAATATTATTTATTTTTATTTTTATTTTTATTTTCATAGTCAAACAAGTATATATATTTATTAAATTTTTATAAAACATATTATATATAATATATTATTTTGTATAAACTATTTTATTGCCTTGAATACTTGTATTAAACTATATTTTTAGATATAACTTTTAAAAGATAAAAAATGTTGCTCTTTTTAATATTTATTTACTTGTAAAATTTAAAAATAAAAATTATTGCTTACAGTTTATTACTATGGTTATAAATATTATATTATTATATTATATTACTAAAAAGACCTATGGGTCTATAGCACAGTGGTTAGTGCTCCACAGGTCAGATCACAAGATACCAGTTCAATCCCATGTAAAGGCTATTGAATAGAATTAATATGGTATCCGGTACCATAGCCAGTTATGTGCCGTTTTTCATAAGAAGCCATTTCACATGCCGATCCGGTAGGCGTTAAGATTGTGATCTCCAGAAAAGAAGTCGTGGTATGATGATCGTCCGGTTGGTGCTACGATGATCGCCAGAAGTTGGACTACAAAAAGGTGTCGAAGGTGTCTGGTTTGAGAAAAGAAGGCTTGGTGATCGCTTCTCGTGGTACCTGATGTCTCTTCCTGCAAGTTACCGATAGTCCGGTTTGGGTTAGAGATTTCCTCTACAGAGTTCTATTCACCATAATAGGTACTACTCTCCAGTTCCCCTTTCATTTCCTCTTAAACATTCCCGGTTAGTAAATAGAACTTAATATAAAATAGTGACACTAATGGAGCAAATGCACATTAGCCTTGACTTGTCTGAGATGGTGGTCAATAGCAAAAAGCCAATATGGGTAAAATCCGATAATAATTCACGGTGGTTTAAAATAGCTCATAGATAGTAATTACCTATAATACATATAAGATACATATGTGAACTAAATAAAAGCCAATGCTGGGTAAGGCCCTGCTAGTTGATAAAAAAAAAAAATTTATTTTATTATAGTATATATATCTATTTATAGCACATGTGGCATAGATTAAATATCCTAGAAGATTCAAGCAGCCCAGAAGGTCCAAAAAATCTACAAGAGCTATGATCTATGAAATTATAACATTGCAATATTCAGACAGCCTAGGTAGCCTATAATAGAAAATACTATATATTAGATTTCATAGTTTAAATTCTAATTCTGAGCTAAGTGCCCATCATTATCATTTTATAGTATTGATCTTTATATTTATATATTAGCTTCATAATATGACATATAAAGATAGGTCCCTAAATTATTTAGCATATAAAATTTCACAGATCAATTATATTTCTTTTAAAAGGATATAATTAATTATTTATTATTTTAATAGGGACATAATTCAAAAACATTTGGATCAAGTGGCCTAAATTACAAAAAACCTTTATAGATAGTTTTTTTTTGATCTTATATTTAAAAAAAAACTTTTTTAATAGGGAGAAACATTTGAATTATGTCTTTGTCTTTAATTTAGGAACCCATCTTTAATAATATAACACATATTAATTATTTTTTTATTTTTATATTATATTTTTTTATTTTTATTTATAATTCATTATATATATTACTTAAGTTACTTGGATATTAAACTTAAGATTTATATATTTTATAATTGAAGTCAGCTTATTTATATTAAGAAATTAAATATAATAACCATTTTATTATATAGGCATATAATTCCTTTTGATACAGGTTGCAAAGCCAGAGTTTATTATATATATAACATATAATTTTTGCAACATATGTAATCTCTCCTGGCCACATTAGCAATGATTGGAGCCCATGCATATTGCTAACTAGTATAGTAAAGTATTTAAAGTTTATATAGGTTTTCAAATTTTTTCCAGTAATTAATTTTTTAACAATTTCTTTAATTTAATTATAATTTCTAATTTAATTATGATTTTCAATTTAATTATGATTTCTAATTTAATTACAATTTTCAATTAATTATGATTTTCAATTAATTATAATTTTCAATTTAATTATGATTTCCAATTAATTGCAATTTCCAATTAATTATAATTATCAATTAATTACAATTTTCAATTAATTACAATTTCCAATTAATTATTACTTTCAATTAATTACAATTTCCAATTAATTACAATTTCCAATTAATTACGATTTCTTATTAATTACGATTCCTTATTTAATTAGAATATAGATATCATATTATAATTAAAAATTATATTAATTCAAAAATTAAAAATCTAATTCTATCCATGTATGATCTTATATATACTAATATTACTACTAACTGTAAGTTTAACCATAACCTAATCCTCCTATATATAATTCAACTTATGCAAACTTACACCAGTAGTGGGCCCACATGTTGGGTAGAATTATATAGGAGATGGAAATCCTGTTGCCAGTTTAAACCACCTGACCTGCTAATCTATTTTTGTCAAAAGACATATAGGGTAATCATTTATACAAACCAATTCAGAAACATTCTGATCATCTTTTTTCATCAAGGCTAGGGTTTATGGAAATATATGTTAATACTTGATAGATCATCTTTTTATTTCATAACTTTGACTCATATAGCTATAGATAATAATTCCACATGTGTATATATCTCCTAATAGATGCTTCATAACTGTAATCCTTGATTATACAAGCTATCAAATCTAGAGGCATAAATGCTAAATGGACATAACACTATATTCTTCTAATAGACACTTCAAGGAAATTTAATTGGCTTAAGCTACCAAATATTGGGGCATAAATGCCAAACAAGATGCAACTCCTATATATAAATAATGTAAACCATTCACTTATATTACATATTTGTATCTATATTGACAATTTCTTCAAGATTTCATACTTGTATTAATATGTTGTACTGTAGAGTCTGTCATGCCAGAAGGGATGTGGGCTTATTATTGAATTTAGACCAGAAGTCTTTTCTTATGCAACCTTTTCTACTTTGATCTGTTTTCAGCTTGTGATTGTTAAAAAGACTAGAGGTTCCATTTTCATGCAGTCTAACTAAATTTGCTCAAAATCCAGATGTTTGGATAACATTTGAAAAAAAACTGATAAACTCATAAATGAAGAATAAATTTTTTGATATTTGTCCTCTGTAGGTATTGAACTAGGAATATGCATTTGGAGACCTGAAAGTACTATTTACTGTATTATAATGGACAAAAACTTACTATGATTTTTTATTTGGAAAAACCAAAGTATAATAATTTAGGCAATGCAATTAAAAAAGAAATAACATCACCAGAATTAGAGAATAAGCATAAAGATAAACAATATTGTACTATTATAGGAAACTCTGATAAAAAACCATTGATACAAATCAACAATTAGACCATTATTATTGAAAATAGGGAGAAACTGATTGAATATATACAGAAATTGAGAAATTTAAATCAACCAATTATCAGAAGTAAATTCAGATTACATAATTGGAAAGGACTGAATATTATTTGTGAATATGATAATTATCTGGAAAGCAAAGAGAATATATGTATCATATGCCAACAAAAATTTTAAGACTTGGAACTTGTTAAATATTTTAACAAGAAATATGAGAAGATAGAAATCAATAAACCACCTGATCTAACTACAATCCAACAACAATAATTGAACCATCTCTTAAAGGAATATTAGGATATTATAGTCACTGATAATGATCTATCTGAACA